CCATCGTCTATGTGCATGTTTTTGATATCCTCGTTGTTGTAACATTGTGGTTTTTGACAACCACTACCTGACCTATAAGATATGCCCCCTACATGGTACAGTGATATAAATACCCCATATATAGCGGACAACCAGAAGTACCAAAGATTGTCCAGATACACCTAAGGTGGCCTGAAAGTATAAGATGATATGAAAGATGAAGTGAGATAAAGAGGTCCCCTTTATGAGTTTGCAATGCACAAAAATCACTCAAATAGTTTTGCAAGAACATTCTTGCACTGAAAATATCGCCGGAGAACTGTGCCAAGTAGCTAGCTCACGGTCCAGACAACTCCCTTATTGTTATTGCTTATTTCGATATTTGGTCCACCCTTAATGGCTCTGCAATCAGTGGGCAATATACATCATGGTATTTATAGCTGTCTGTGTTGCACAAACTCCAAGCATCCACACATTCCTAACAGAGTTGTCAGTTAACCAGCTGAGAGAACGTCAGTCATTTCCGGATCCCTGGTAATTTTTGGGTTGAATACGAAATCAAAATGTCTTGAGGTTAATATGCACTTGGCTATAAACTGCTACCTCCGCACAATGAAATTGCTACTGGTTTCCGATCCCTGCCAACGCATGGTCTGAAGTTGTTTGAGGTCATTTGATTATTGACCTCTTCAACTAGTCTGATGTGTTGAGAAAGGCCTTAGCTTTGGCTCCCACCCCATGTAGTATTCAAGAAATTTCTGGAGTTTGGGCCAATACTTTGATATGTTGCTTCACGTCACATTGAATTGTCAGCAGGCTGTAGTCTGCACAGAATATATCCAAAATTGTTTGGGCCATGCAGGTCACGGGTCTGATCTGTACGCATGGTTTCTTAGCTGCTCAATTATAACATGGCCCAAATCTAAATCACAGAACACTGGCATCTATTTTTTGTCCTCATAAGCGGAGCAACTGAATAATCAATCACATAAATTAAATTTTGAGAAATATGATGTGTGTTTCCTGTCAACAGTTATTATGACTCACACATCAGTCTGGTAGCTTAAGACTCGCAAAATTGCTTTGTCGTAATTAAACAGAGTCTCAGATCTGATTCTGGCGACACGGAGAAGACACTCCAGACTGTCCGTTACGCACTAGGCCCGCCACATAGATCCTCTCCCCCCGCATATAGAGGAACGCTGTTTTCTCATTTTTAATTTAATTCAGCTGCCACAGGTGTCATGCATGAAGGTCTTGTAACTGATCATGCCTGTCACCAATATTTTCACAAAAGACTACTACTACGGGTTTCCGGTTTCCCACCCACAAGTTCAAACCTTTCATACTCAGTGCGTGATGTTATTTAGCTATCAGTGATGATGAACTTATAGAACTAAAATTACTCCAATAAGCATGGGGGAAGTGAGAACTGCTCTTACACTATTCAATGCATCAAAATGTCACATTGAACACCTGCAACCTAGCATTCATGGTATAACCCCATCATATATATGCATTTTGTTCTTGTCCAGTTAGTTATACACATGCCACACTAATCCATAATCGTTTGCAGTTCACAGCATGAGTTCTGTGTGAGAATCAGTTTCCATTGTGATTGCACCTCGACTTGTCTATTTTGCTCCTGTCGTCCGTGAGGTGGGTATTTCAAATGAATGTGCACATTTTTAAACTGTCGCATACCTTCACACAATGAATATTGCAATGGTTCCATAACATGCATATGATGTTTGCTGGGGTCCTTCTGCTGATCACGGCTCTTATTCTGTGCCTGTGGTCAAACTTTAGATTAATGTTCTGGAGAAAAGCCGACTCACCTCATTTTGGGTCCAACCAGTAAGATCGTGTATGCGAGGTATGTTAGAACATGCCATGGGTCATATGGAGTGTTAATCGCATGGAGTTTCGGGTCATTACACCAAGGTTAACCTCGTTTCCATTGTCTAAGCAGGCTATATAGGTGCACAGTAAAGAAACACACTTGTTTCATGGAGTGCCCAATTCCAGGTTTCTGGGGGTTTAAGACGTGTGTCTCAATTCAGTTGCCTATCCTTGACTATGTCGACTGCCTATTTCACTAATAGTCCCATCATCTTTGAGTCTGCTGTCCGTTCCTCTGTTCTCCGTTTGTCATTTTTTGTTGCCTTATTCACATAGAAGACTAGCAGAGCCTGTGCAATTTTTCATTGTTGAAAACTCTGTGGACTGGTGCTGTTTGAGGATGGACTATAGATATCTGCTAATATCATGTGCTTCGGCTCTGGTATGATGCAGAGCCTGCGTTTGATGGAACTACCTGTTAATGACTTATATCTCGTGTATCACTCAATGTGTGTCTTCTCTTACACTGTCAATGTGACATGTGATGGGAGCTGCTAATTATATAGCCGTAATAGTCTTTAAGATCTGCAGAGTTCGAGCGATATTTACGTACAAGGTTCCCACTCCATGAGTGGGGGGCTTACCACTACCCAGGTAATGTGCGTGTGGTAGAATAAGACGAAGAGAGGCAAAGAGGAAAGGAAGAGAGGGAAGGAAAGCAGGCCTTTGAATCAAGTGCAGGCAAATCAATATGAAAAGAGGTTATAGCCCTGTGTCTGGTGTGTAATGGGGGCATGTTTTGATCTCTCTTTGTACTAAATTGCGTCTGTCAGTTAAACGTGGATTTTTAATTTGACATGATAGTGATTGCAGTTTAGCAGTATTAACTCAGGTCAGCCATTGCAACTTCTTAGCAACGTTAACGGCTTTTTGTTTACAGATGCTGACAAAATTAAACCTTCCCTCTATTTGAAGAGTGCTAGCATATCCCAAAGAGGATCAACTGTAGTGATAGACTGTGAATTCTCAGAGGTCTATCCCGAGGCCTCATGTGTCCTGGTCTACAGAGAGTATGGCAGTCCTCTCCTGACAGTGGTGGAGTTGTCCCAACGCATCAATTTCCCTGTCTATCTATCACTGTGGACAGCCCTGAGAACTATACCCTTGCACTGTTTGGGGAAAATGGTGCAAGCAGTTTGGATGAAGAGCCACTGGTGGATACTAAATTCAGTGACTCTGGTAAGAATCACTAGAACCTCTTTAGGTATTTGGGTAACTTTCACAACAATGAAAGTTATATGCAAACTGTTTACATACCCAAAGACCAATTGTGAAAACTATAGTGTCACATTTCATTGAGCTACAGATGAAAAGGACAGAGGGAAAGAAGAAGGAAAGCACAATTCCCAAGGACCAGTTGTTGCCATATCCATTGGTGGGTGTTTACAGTGTCAAAGCTAAACCCACAATGGGTATATCCTCCTCCAGGCACAGTAGTGGTGTGTGTTCTAGTATGTGGCTCAGCAGTGATGGTCCTGGTGATGGTCAGACGGTATTATAACCGCAGCAAGTCCACACATGCATCTGATGCAGGTAAATGATGTTTGTGAATGCATCAACCCAGAAAATCTACATGGCAAACCTGCTGCAGTAATTGGTAAAGGTTCTTAGTTGTGTGTCTCATTCACTAATGAATAACAAGCATGCCAACGGTGGCATGTGTGTGGGTTGCAACTGTGTGTGTGTGTGTGTGTGTGTGTGCCACGCAATGCATAACTATGCATCATTGGGAAACTTCGCAGTCAAGTTTTTGTTCAATGTTGGATTAGAGCATACATGTCTACTAGAGGAATGCAACACATTGTTGGTGAGCGAGCGTGAGCAGTTGAATATTGTGTGTTTTGCGCATAATTATATAGAACATTACGGTATGTGCAGTGCCCAGCAGAGCCTGTCACATATAAAAATTAAAAAAGATATATAAAGAAAGTTCCAGCATTAAAACAACTAGCTAGGTAAACCAACTAAGTATTCTAACAACTACACACAAATCTAGTATGTTCGGATATATGGCATCAGGCAACAGCTCTCGGTGTCTGTCATCAGGAGGTGGCACGACAGGGCACTCCCAACCTCTGCAAGCCCCTCCTATGACCAGCACCCCTTGGTTGTTGTCTGTGGGAGGAGGACCAGGAAATATGACACACAATGCTGGGCAGCTGCTGTCAATCCTACAGACCTTGGCACTCGAGAGGTGTGGCCATATTAATCTCCCTCTCTTGGTGTCTGGTGACTGGTTCAGATGAACGGCCAATCTCCTGTGGCTGGATCTCAGACTGGAGAGAAGTGGGATCCTCAGGCTGGGCCTGAACCGCCACTGGGGATGGGCTGGACTTCTCAATTAGACTTCCAACAACAAGCTCTCCTTTAAAAACTCAACGGTTAAAATGAAATTCATACGCTTATAACAAAATATATACCTTCTTTGGCTTCAAAGCCAAGTGGAGGACACACACATTTGCCTGCATCTTTGTGTGGCAAGGTAGGCAGGATGCTTGCGTGTCCAAATAATCCGCGGACAGTGTCTTGCTCTTCCGCTTCATCGCTACATTCCAAAGGGATTACGTCATCACCCTCTGTGAAACATAGACACTGAATGTAAAACGACTAAAATACCACAAAAAGGACAAACCTGGCACCATATCCCTGGCATCACCCTAACAAGAAACATTTTTGTCAATAGGTTGGTTACGTATATTGCAAGCATTGAAATCTAATAAACCTGGACAGTGCAGGAGTTGTCTGCTGATCCTTGTCTCCAAGATCCAGTTGGGTCGGGATGAGAGTCTTCTCTCCTGTTTCACAAATCTGGGTGAACAAGCTCATTGTGAAGGTGTACACTGACCTTCATTATTCACCGGAAGAACACCAACGTTTTCCTCAGTAAAACAATCCTCTGGTATTTTAATACCAGCACCATGGGCCAACATTGGAGTGTCAAAGGTGTGATGTCTCTTGCCTTTGGTAGTCAAAGGGCTTTCTGCTAGGGCTAATTATAACATCACAGAAAATTGATGGGTATATAGCTATCACAGTACCAACCTTATCATACTCTTCCCCCTTGCACAGTGAAGTTGTTCAGATAGGGTAAGTTGAAGATCCATTTGGATTGTGCTCTGGACAAATATTATTGTACCAATGCTGCAGAATCAGCTACAATCGTGTATTTCCACACCTCGCTCCCCTGTTTTCACTATCCTTGTCATCAAAAGGTAGGATTGCCCGTTCCACCCCATTCACAACCTCACAGCTACCACCACATCCAGGGTGAGATGAATCTGGCTGAGGCTCTGCATGTAGGACAGCAGCTGCACAATCAACTACGATGTATTGTGAAATCATTTTACCAGTTGGCTTGCTTGTCGGTTCCGATCTGGCAACAGACATCTGCCTGAAGCCATCTATTTGTTGGATGTTAAAATCCTCAGTAACAGATAGTGAAGTATCTAATAAATGAAAACCCAAAATTTACCACCTACACCTTTAGCAGTAACTAACCACCGGGGCTACTGAGGTTGAGTCCAACCACACAGGCATCTATAAATGCATAATATCATACATCATCATTAACAAGAACGTATTAATGATTGTTAAGGTAAGATTTGTAGAACTCTTGGCGTGCAGAAGACGTAGTAGTCACTACAATAACGTAATGGAATGAACTACAGTGCTACACACAAGACACAACTGTGGTACATACTCTTCATACAGAGAGTAATGCACACACCACAGTCGCATGTCATCATTTGGTAGTCACTACAATAACGAAATACAAAAAATTTGGTCACAACTGTATGGAAGTAAGTAGCGACACACTTGCACGGTGCAGTAAATTCTACTGCTCCCAAGCAGTTTTCTGCACTGAGCAAAACACAAGAATTGTGCTAGAAAGACTCGGAAATGCTACAGGAAATGACAGAATCTGTGTGCAACCGTCTAGACTTAGGATTCACCGGAGGTCTTCTGATCTGCGATCGGAGGAGTGATATCACTCACCATAAAAAGCAAGGAGACAATACAGGGATGACTGGTAGATATGACTATGCATAACTTGATCATGCAGCACACAGGCCTTGTATAATATTGTGGCAAAGGCATTCTGCAGCTTAGGACATGGGAGTTGCAGCTCACATGCATGACTTGGTACATACCTTCCTCCACATCTCCACAGCAGTAATCCACTTTCTTATCACCAGAGAGAGTAGGGGATGGGTGAACAACTGGTTTTGGGTCCTCATCTACCATCAATTTCTACCAAATGATTTATAATTATTCTGGGATTCACATTGTTCTATGCTCAAACCTCAACTCTTCTGCTTCCATCATTATTGCTGTCAGTGAGGGGCGATGTATTTCCCTGAGCACCAGTCACCACCTCACTATCACCGCTGCTAGAGGACAAGGATTCTGGCTGGGACTCATTGACTGGGGGTGGCAGAGGACAATAAACAGTGGCGTGTGTTCTTACTGAATGAAAACATTTTTGTACCCACTTTCTCTTTCATAATTATAGTCTTTGCCATATGCACAAAACATGCACATGCCCGCCAGAGTACACTGTTTACACGTTTTTTTTCCCCGTGATTATTTGTAAGCTACGACATCTCAATAATAATATCACAATTAAAGTGCAAAACCCTCGGCGGTGTGGTACCAGGCATGTGGGTTGGGCTATGTGTATGCGTTAATCACCATAGCTTAGTCTAGCAATATTATTTGTCACAATCAGAGTGTGTGACTCTAGGCCAATGAACATGTTTAGACTGGCTTTATAAAGCAGGCAAATAAACAGTGAACATGTCCTAAAGCCTAGGAACATGAAAATCGAAGAACGACAGAAACCATCATCATCTTATCAAATCACAAGTACACAACATCACGCGGAAATCAGACAAATCATACAACAATTTTGTTCCAGGACTGAGAATATCACAATCAAGAATGAATGACTCAAGTATTAGAAGTATCCTGAACAAGTCGGAGATACCGATTAAAATCAAGCCAGTGTAGAAATGAACCCGATGGCATCGCTGTTTGTTGAATCGTTGCGTGTAGTCGCAGAAAACGTGGTAACAGACAGACAGACGACAGATGGACACACTTACGAACCAAGTACTGTAACCCTCGCTGCGCATGCACGCCAAGGGTTACTTATGAAAAACATAGCCTATATTTCTTCAGAGTGAGTGAAACTATTTGGTTTAGAGGAAGAAAACATAACCCTTGTTCCCCTGTTGCATGTGTGCACTGGAGGTATATAGTGACATAAAAATGGAGTTGTGATAGGACTCCCTGTAGGCATTGTTCACTTAAACTAATTGTTATGATTGCACTCCTAAGTCACCGTTCAGCTTTGTTATTATATGGTGTAGATTGTTACCTATTCCACTTGAAGAAGAAGAACTGATCTGCCTGCTCATTGTCTGTAACTGACAGTCTGGAGGAGAAACATAATGAAAAGCAACAAGTCCAAACCCACAGTGAGACACACAGACATATCATCGCACCAAACACTGTCACACGCCCTGTACATATGCACAAAACGTTAACAACTCATATTATGTAATGTTATATGTACCTCATGGTAAGCACACGTAAATGTCACGAAAACTGACACCTATGTACTACAGTATGTAGAGATCAACAAACATACTGTCTGATCCACTCAACGCCTGACGGGCCAGTTCCTCTTCCCCCAGATCTCTCAGTACACGAGATAGTTTCTCCCAGGATGGCTGTAGTCTGGTGACCCAGATCTCCACAAACACCTGCAGACAGCCCTCATTCATGTCGTTGTTGGTGTCTATCTCATCAATCAGATCCTCATCAAACTCCAGACCCTCTGCTATCTCCTTCCAACGACCAGCCACACCCCACAACAGTGACATCACTGACTCCACTGTGGGGGGTCCTAGGGGGTGGGGAGACATGTAATGATGTAAGACAAGTAACGAGGAATTGCAGCCTTTCAACCTTTGGGTGTTGCCTTGACTACATTCTTCTTGTCTGCATTAGGTAGAAGAACACAGCCTTACAATTACCTACATGGTACTATCACTACTAACCTCTGTTGTCATTCTCTTTGACAGGAGTAGTGGCATGAGGTAGGACATCAACATAGAGGCCCTGTGTCTTGGTCTCAATCTTGGCGGGTTTTGGCCTGTTGGTAGGAAGAGGTCCCACCTCAGCATATTGAGAACGGGGCATTTTCTGAGGAAAGAGAGGATGGAACATGAGTCATGTGACTATCATGTGATCATCAGCTGACATGAGTAGCTCTGATGGCAATCTCCTGGTACTGGACTCTGGTGTCTTCTGGTTGCACTCCTGATGTTGAGAGGTCCACATCGGTGTATATCCCCTTTTGTTTGGACATCACTGGAGGAGTGCTCATACTTACACCACTGTCCTGTCTTATGTGAAAGCTGTTCCCACTAAATGGAGGTTTGGCTTCTCCTTCAGCATGTCCATCCTTTTTCGGTTTGGTGCCACCATCATCTGATATCAGTCGAGAACCGCTCCTTACACTAGCATGACTGAATAACTCAAGGTCGTTAGTTTCACTCGGGGAAGGACAACAAAAGCAACTGTGAACTACATCAGAGGAGCTGTAACCACTTTTGTGTGACTGCAATAAGAGATATGAACATTTCTGATGGAAAATTAGAGACACAAATTACCTTCTTCCACCAAATCAGTGTAATTACAGCCAAGATGACAAGAGTAATGATGATACACAATACAGCAGTAACTGGCACTCCAATAGCAATTGATGATGTGCTTCCATCTACATAGAAAACGGGAAAACACTATCTCTGTAGGTACATACACATGTAACCTGTGTGCAGACGTGTAATGCAAAGATACAAGAACAAGAAGTGCGGTGCAAGGAATGCGGGCACATAGAGTTGATGTGTACACTATGCATAGCAGTTAAGGTTTAACTGGTAGCCAGGCAGGCAATCCAAGTACTGTAACCACCACTGTGCATGCATGGCGAGGGTTAAAATTACATTACCATACTCCACATGCAAGCCAATGGGTAATTAGACATACCAGAGGATGTTGATACAGAAATAGTTGGTGTGGTTGTCTCAGTAACATCCACTCTTCCTGCAATAATTGGTCTTTCATCAAAACTGGAACCATCCTTTCCAAATATAGCAAATGTGTATTTCTCAAGATTGTCATCAACAGTCAGAGTCACAGGGAAGACAGTGTTCTGAGGATATTCCTCCACCACTAGTGTCTTGTTACCATACTCTCGATAGACCAGGACACATGAGGCTCCCTCTATACCTTCTTTGAACTCACACGTGACATTCACTGTCACCACCCCATTCCAGTAAACACTGCCATTGTTTAGAAATTGAGATTCTCCATCAGCGATGGGACCTGCAATAGAAATTGGAATAAAAGCCAAATGTAAACAAATCAGCAGAAACTCACTGGTCCCCATAAAAGTGACAGTAGTGTTCTGTTCAACAGCAGGATGGCTGTTAGGCAGTTCATCTTCCTCAAGGTCATAGACGAACATATTGTATGTTGAAGATACAACGTCATGAATAGTACTCTGTACAGAAGTGCTGGAGTCATCAGGCAGTAGTAGGGCTCTGAATACATCAGGGTTTCCATATTCACATTGTAAAACTATGAAACACCCCTGAGCCGTCGTGCTTTCAATGAACTCTGCAGTCAAAAATGATCTCATTATTGGTATCATTGGTGGTGTCAGCGGCAGCACTCTGGACATCATATGTAGCTGTAATTAAAATATGAAAACTCTTTGCACAAAGGTATGTAGATAACAGTATCATCATTAAAATCAAGACGCAATTATGCTTATCAGAGCCAGGTTGCTTCATCATGCATAGCAGCGTGCTAAAGGAAAACTGGTGATTTTTTGAGAACCCTCTACTATGTTTTAACATAATATGCTATCAGGCACAAAACACACACCACACATTCAGTTTTATAGACTATACTATCACTGGAAATTACTGAAATTGATCCGTGGGGGGGCTACTCCACTAGTGATAATAGGAAGGGACACTAGGAATGAATATCTATTGTCAGCACGGAGTTGGTAGGTGACATCTGGTCCTTCTGGTGATGGTGGCTCTTCAATGACAAGATGATCATCATCTACATCAGGAGTGACTCTCCAGCTACTACAAACTTCACTGGTGGGATTACCCTATCACAAAAATAACAGACATTGAGTATTATGTACGGTACTAAAATTACTACTGATCGATGTTATGAAGGTAACATTGCTCTCGTCCCTAGAGATAGCTCGGATGTGAATCATTATAAGTGCTGAAGCTATAATGAAAGGAGAACAAGCAGTAAGTGGTCTTTTCATGCAGGAATGGCAGCAGGTACCCCAAATATAATCACAAGTTTTCATACCATCCAGTTATCTATTGTAAGTTACATCAGTATGGGTCTGCACTAATTCTGGTGAAATTCTGTGCCATTTACGCACAAATTGCAAACATGGTCAATACGGCAAGTGCTAAAACATGTGAAGAAGGTGAAGTACTGGTATGGGCATTTGCACACATCCACAGGTGATGTTGCATCAAAGAGAGTATACATACCCAGTTATCAACACGGAATCTGATGCTAGGCTACAAGCTATTGTGTGCTATTTAAAAAGAAATTGAGAGAACAGGATGGCAAAAGTAGAAGTAGTATGTAAGTTCAATATTATACCTCAGATGCAGGGACACTATATACTAAAAAATAATGCAGCATTGGGACATAAAAGTGTATGTACTAAAAATGAACTTTGAAGCAGATGCGGATAATCAGTGCATTGTCGCTATAAAATGTACTCACAGTTGATAACATATCCAGTGATATTGGGACTCCTCTCTCCCTGGCCAGCTCCATTGAGGGGGATGACAGAGAAGAGAAACTGATATTACTATGATATGCAAGCCTGTTACCTAGTGCTAGTCAATTGCAAACTCTTTCATTCTTAGCACCATGTGTAGCGAGGGTGGAAGTATAAGTTTACCTTGTGCACAACAGAGTCCAAGAATAAAAACAAAGAACACAGCTGCACCTCCACCTATACCAAATGGGATAAGGATTATGCACTATTAATAGCAGTTGCTTGTGTTAAACAGACGTTACAGCCCTCAGCATTCAGTATGTGTGTGTGTGTCTGTCTGTTACCACTTTTCTTGAACTAAAGGCCTAAAGGAGACAGGCAAAGCTGCAACATGGGGGACTCCAGAAACCAGTAGCACCTCCAACGTTGCAACAACTGTGTCATGGTCTTTGCAAGTGTTCTCACAGCACTTCAGTTGCATACAGTCGTCACTGAGCAAACCAACGCATCCACCATCGTAGATCATCCCATGTATTGCTTAGTGATAGCATTCACAAGGCCAAAACAAATAGTGCAAATTTCGAAATTTCACTTGATTACCCATAAATAGAACAAAGACCTGCTACACTATTCCTGTAGACTTGCATACAACATTGCAGTCGGATGCATGCCATAGCCCACTAGAGAACACAAATATTTGGTGTCAATCTATATCTGTATCTACAGCATCTAACAACATGACTTCCTGATTGCAGTGACTCACGTGGCAACATGGTAGCTTGTGTCAGCAATTACTGTAAGAATGAATGATAATACAATTTTCAGCCAGTATCAATATCAAGGTTGCAGTACCCACGCTGGGATGTGGGTACGCAACATGTCATCATGCCTACTAGGCATTTGGTACAAATATTTGTTCAAAATAATTATTGTATGCCTTAGGGTAGCACTTCATGGCTGTATCAAGTCATCAGCACTATTCAGTGTAGGGCAGGTCCGACGCTCAAACACCAAGGAAGGACATTTTGAAAAACCCCACAAGACTACTGCTGATTGATATACACGGTAATATCATCTAATCATACATACCTTATCCCTTTTTCTGGTTGTCTGGTCTACTGTTAGCCGTGGCCTCACTCGAGTATTCTCTCCCTCGCCTCACAAGCGGGCTCGCACATTCTTCACTTCCCTAAATGGAAATCAATAACATTATTCATAGTCCAGGAATAGTGCGCATGCTTAGCTTCCCCCATCCGTGAGAGCTATGCATACCAGTTATACTAGAAGAATGTTGGCGAGCGGGAGCGACCCAACTTGGGATTTGTCCGCGATGTTCGGGCTGCATAACGTGCCGTCAGCGCACAGCTTTCCTTTCGTCGCCGTTTAATACATGCGTACTGTATATTGCCAGGTGAGCAGAACGGTCCTTACCTTACGCTTTCAGCTCGTCTGTTGTGGTCCGCCAGGCAGCTGGCATGGCAGTACGCTAGGCAGCGATCGATCGGGCGGCCCGACAACGCGGCGTGTGGCATGCAGCACAGTATGTGCACGAGCAATCCTAGCGTATTTGCAAGTTGCAGCTTGGAACCATGAAGATTGGGAAAAGGTACAGCCTCGGTCAGTCACTGAAGGTTGCAGCGCATGCCGTCGAATGGAGGAGAGTTCTCTAGCTGGCTAGATCGATCGGCGCATATCGCGAGGAGAAAATGTGTAAAAATGTTTAGAAACGTGTACAAAGCCGCGCATGCGCACTTACACGACGTAAGATAACAGTTAGAAAGAAAGACTAGGTTGGCTCGCTCCCGCTCGCCAATTATACTAAAAATGGAGCTTGTACTTGGTGTAGTCCTGCTTCTAAGTGGTTACTCTGCATGTTCTGTTGTTGCTCAAGGTAAGACCATACTTTACATGTAGCTATGCTAGTTTACTTCTACTCCCAGAGGTGCTCCATGCTCCTGGGAACCAAACCGTCTTTCCAAACCAGTCAGCAGTGTTCACGTGTGAGACAGATGGTGGTTCCACTGGTTGGAGAGTTAATGGAACTTTTGTGGATGAGCTTCCACCTGCAGTAGAAATGGATTTGGAAATCTTCGGTGCTAACACTGCAGAAGGGACTAGACTGGCGAGTCTGACTATCCCAGCCAAAGCTGAGTACAATGGAACTAGAGTTTCGTGTTTCACACAAAGACTTGGTGGTCTCTTCATGGAGAGTGCTAATGTCACATTGAGAATTCAAGGTAGCTACAATTACTAGTGTAAGTTAAAGATATGAATGTGCACCAGGTACCCTGTCAGCAGTAGCTGGTCTGAGTGTCACCAGCAATGCCAGCTCAGTGACCATCTCGTGGAGTGCTCCATTCTCTCTGGATGTGACTGGTGTTGATCCTGATATCTGGTACTCTGTCCTCATCTACAATGTGACAGATGAGAACAACCCAACAGCCATCCTCTGTACTGACTGTATCAATATCACTGAGACACACTACACCTTCACTCCTGACTACCTCAGTCCTTGTCATGTGTACAACTTCTCTGTCATCCCTCTGAATGGAGCTGGCCAGGGAGAGAGGAGTCCCAACATTGCTATTACCATTGGTATGTCAATTTTAATCTGTAACCAGACCAGCCTGGTCCCTTGAGCATTAGACATATAATATTATATCTCTATTAGGAAAGCCTACTTTCATCAGAAGTCATATCAAAGCCGTTTGTGATGATGTTGCAGTTACTTATGTAAGTGTAAACCTTATGATGGTCTTATACAGTAGTATAGCCACTGTTTGCAGGAACACACTGAGATGGTAGATGAGTACATTCTTCATGGAGTGTCTGATATGGACCTAAAAAATATTTCTTTGTCCTCCAACCAACGAGTTTCAACATACACACTCTCAGCAAACAAAAACTTTAACATATTCTTTGAACTCATTACAGCTGGTGGAGCTGTGAATGTATCTCATGATACCTTCAGTAAGACAACCAATGAGTGTGCATGTCTATACTAGTTCTCATGAATATTGTATACAGCAACCTATGATGTCCAGAGTCTGTCAGTGGAAGAGGAAGAAGGAGGAGGAGTGTCAGTGAGAGGGGAGTTCATGAGTGGGTCACGAGCTGCAGGATGTCTGGTGGTCCTCCAGGGACCTCCCTCCTCTCCTGACATATTCAGAGCTCTCCTGAGGACCCAGTCTCAGGACACTGTCTCCACCACTGTACCTGTCCCTCCCTCCACTTACACTGTGTATGGATATGACCTTGAGGAGAATGGACTACCCAACACCATGCCTGCTGTGGTACTGGAGAGTCAACTAACTATCAGCAAAGGTCTTTTATAATACTGTGTATCCTAATACAAATGCGTTCCTGATTTTCAAAGGTGCTTCATTGGTTAAAAGATCTCGACTATTGAAGGATGCCACCATAACATCTCAATTAGGATCAACTGTAGTGATAGACTGTGAATTCTCAGAGGTCTATCCCGAGGCCTCGTGTGTCCTGGTCTACAGAGAGTATGGCAGTCCTCTCCTGACAGTGGTGGAGTTGTCTCAACTCATCAACTTCCCTGTCTCTATCACTGTGGACAACAACCCTGAGAACTATACTTTTGCACTGTTTGGGAAAGACAGCACAACAGGAATAGAGAAAGAGCCTGTGATTTGTATGAAGTTTGATAAGCAGGCTGCCCCAATTCACACACCACTTGGTGAGTCAGTTAATGGACAGCAGTTTGATGCATACTATATGCATACTGCAGATATGACACTGGATTCTGAAAAGAAACAAGAAACAGAAAGTGAGAGTGATGGGGAAAACATGAACTGCCAAACACAACATGTTGCCATAGCCGTTGGGGGTATAGCCTTTTTTCACAACAATCAGATGTTTACTAATGCTATCCAACAGGAGCTGTATTGATATGTGTTCTATCATGTGCCTCTGCTGTGCTAGTCTTCATAACAGTCAGGCGGTACAGAAGAAAGAAGATAAAAGATAAAACTGCGGGTGAGGCTACGCACAATGTTGCTCTGAATAGTGTGTGGGGCTATAGCTATGTATATACCTCAAACTCAATGCTGTGTATGAAAGCTCCGTTACGTATATATTCCATAGCCCCAAGTGTCCAGACCAGAAATGCTGTGGTGTATGATGAGGTGGTTCTGCCCCCAACCTCCTCCTCCGTCATTCCAACTGAACCTAACACAGCCTATGTCACTACAACTGTGTCTCAGACTACTACCATACCCACTGACCAGAATGTAGCTTATGGTGTGCATTCATAAAGACTGAATTATGCATGATTTTAAACTTCTCGTGATCATAATATTCATGCAAAGCTCTCTTGTAAAGCTGTAGGGAGAGGTGTTGCATTGTCTCCTCATGGGGGGAGAGCACGTGATATTTTCTCTGCAGCATGCATTCAAGGTAAATATAACCTGAACTGATGTATGTTTCAACCCACATGCACAAAGCTCACTTGCCTGTGCCGCACAAAAACCACGGGAGTTGTTTGCTCATGCGCATTGCCAACGTTTTGCTAACTGATAACAAAGTATTTGTAACACCTGCATGAACTAGTAAGTTACAGTGTAAAATAATGATGTATATACAAATAATAAAAGGCTAAAAATTCACTATTGTAGTTACATTATGGTCAAGCTGGGGACACGACATTTACAACAAATATACACAAATAAAATTGCTATCTTACTGACGTATCATAATTACAGAGTAATATCTTGATTATCATGTGGCTGGGGAGATGGTTGGTATGGATTGCTCATAGCTGCATCATGCAGAGATGAAAATATGATTATTAGATCACAGGTAGGTAAAACCAACTTACCAGCACTGATTGGTTCTTGTGTAGTATGAGAGTCACGCAAGTTCTGAGTCTGACAGAGAGAAATTAAAGGGCCCTGTTCATACACACTACTATAGACATGACACAAGTGCATTGCTCAGAATACAGGCCCATGGGTGGAACATTACATTGGGCATGGACTACATGCGCAGAGTACCCTTCCGTATACAACACCAGCGAAGCCTTGCCTTTTAGAAGCCAGTCTTATTTGATAACAGCAGAACCATGTGCATGAAATAAGAGTCAGTGAATTAGTTAGTACAGCTAGTCATGTGTATGGAAATACATGGAGTGACTGGGACAGTTCGGGGCTGGCCTTCACTGTTCTTAAACCCTGTTTACATACACATAATGGTTGCATAGCATAATGAAACATCCTTACCATCCTCTTATTTCGAACTGGAACTGGCTCTCGGACTACGAACTCGGATGACTCTTCACTCCCTTCATCACTTGTTACAACTTTAACTGATAGAGACAAAGTCAATAATGTCTAAAAACCACCTTGGGTTTATCAATTTACCACTTTGTTCCTGTATGGTAGCATTGTCGCTGGCCAACTTCTCTTCACTGGAGGCTGCATGAGGGTGTGTGTGTGTGTTTGTGGGGGTGATCGAGGAGAAAGGGAGGGAAAAGGGGGAGAAAGGAAAGTGACCAAACACAATGAGACCAGAGGCTGGGAGACTTTTGTCAACTTCACTACACGCGGCAGCTCAGTGGTCAAAAATACATGTGCAATACATGTGGCATCACATGGTCTAATACCTTCATGTATTTTTAGATTTACCAGGGTACCCACTTCTGCTTCAGTGTTTTGCGCTTGTGCAGCCCTAGCCTATCACATTGTAATTACACAGTCTCACTCGTACAAACACAAAGAGCAGGACATGGATGCCCAGCCTTGAGAACTGGGGACGGTGGGTTAAAGATCTTTGATGGCTAGCCAACTCTCCCCACACATCCAATGTCACAGACTCTTAGGTAAAATCTACAGCTTACAGTACTGTATTGAAGTTACAATCACATACCTGGGGGACTTGCAATCTATAATACTGATGCACAGTGGGGTATTTATAGGGAGTTGTGATGTCATAGGTATTGAATTTCCTAAGGGGGAAGTGGGTTTGTTCCTGGGTGATGTATTTTACTCTAGTGATAATCACAGGTGTAAAACATGATGCTCTGTGTGTGTGTGTGTGTGTGGGTGGGTGGGGTATTCAACCATAGCTGCCTCTGACTCACAGTCTCACATGACCAGGAACCGTATCAACAATGCATGATGCAATAGGGAGGCATAGCGCATGATGCAATCAGTGGTATATACATACCAAGGTTATTGCTGGAACTGCTGTTTCTCGGGATGCACTGGCCAGAAGATGTAATGCAGACAACTGCGAACAATAATAAAAGGGCACCAAAGTTTAAGATTATAGGGAATAAAGGCACTTACCTGTTTCAGGATTTGTATCATCTTGTGGTTGGGCCGCAGTATCTAAGCCGGTCACCTGGCTGTTGTCAACTCTCTCTGTCTCAGGTTCCACAAATGGGCCCTGTGAATGAATGCAACACATGCTTTATCCCTCATATAATACCTCTGCGTTTTCTTTGGCAATCTCTTAATTCTCATTTGTCTCGGGCCTCTCCCTATGTGAGTTCTCCATCCTTCTTTCGTTTTACCTGAGACTTGCCCCCTTCTTCCGGTTCTTCTTCTTCTGTTTTAGGCTCTGTCCTTTCCTCTCCCTCTTCTTCAACTACTTCTTTTACTGGACACATCTCCCCTGCTGGTTCACTGTTTCCAGGAATTTCCTCTTCTGCTGTACCTTCTCCATCACAGTTATCGCTCACTTCCACCTCTATCTGAGGTTAGAAATTGGTCATATAAATCGCGCAATCAGATTGGTCCATGCACAGACTCTAATTCAAGTAGAATCTGGAAACTTTCGAATCAGATTCCCGAAAAGCTGACTCTAAATCTTGCGTATGCAGTGGTACAGTACTTTGGCAGAGTCCTCGACAGTTTGCAAAGATGCCAGTCAAGAAAAGCTCGCCTTAAGCGTCTTCCCCGGGCTTCTTGATATACTTCCCTGCTAAAAAGTGCGCTCGCTAGCCTCGCTGTCCAGCTACACAGAACTTGAATTATGCACAAATGTTGCCATAGCTCAAAATCATGTAGACCTCTCGTCCATGGATACTACAGATAGCCTTGGAAGCATACTCACTGCACTAGAATGCCAACAGCTCAGCAGCTCCTACAGCTACTAATGCACAACATACTGTATGTAGAGCTCCTAAAATATAGGTATACATATACCTGGTCCCCATGTACCTGGGGACCATTAACATTGTTGTCATTCCCCATTGTTACATCCACTGTGCTCTCTCTCATTTCCAGCTCTATCTGAGGTGAGTCCTAAAGAACAGAAACACTCTGGCATGGTTTGGTGTGTAATACCTGGTGAGTATCAACACTGCTGTAGCCAACTTCTGGAAGGATTATCTTCTTCTGCTTCTTCCTCTTGTACACACACAATGCCAGTAGCCCAACAACCAGAACAGCAAACACTATGCAGCAGGCTGAGTAAAGAATGCTGGCTAACTGGTCTGCATGTTTTTACTATAATATAGAGGTATGAATAGTATGAGGGACAACCCCAGGGACAACCCCAGGGATTATCCCACCAAGGCATTACATGAACACACACTACTCCTTACCCTAGCTAGCTTGCATCCATCCTCAAAAGGAAATCACGTAGTCACCTGATCAGATCACTAACTTGTATGGCCTGAATTCCAGACCTAGCTTTACTTTTTACGTCCATATCATGCACAACCAGGAATTTACATGCTGGGCCTATTCTCCAATACTCAACACCACACAGTTATATCAATGTTCTGCCTGCCCAACTTACCACCACCCACAAGGCCAATGAGGAGAGAAGAATCTCCTTTTTCACCAGTTTCACCCTCATGTTTAGGAACAAGAACTGTAGGATCCTCACTGTTGTTGCATGCAGAGGAGCCTGGAATGACATGGGGAAAAACATGATTAGTTCTGCACCCACCACAACCACAGAACACACAGTGCCAAAGTAGGCGGCAACAGAGGGTGACTCAGTAAAAATGAGGGTCCATATTGAGCCTTGTGCAATGATACTCACTGTTTGGAACATTCACAAACGGAATGTGGTACTTTTCTCCTTCACCAGCTCCGTTTACTGGGACGATGGTGACTGTATACTCATGGCACTGGTCAAGAACATTCAGGGTGAAGTTAGTTTCTGGGATGTTGGTGCAGTTCGAGCAACTGATTTCTCTCTGCTCAGTCTTGTCTTTAAGAAACACTGAGTACCACATATCAAGGTCCCGGTGAGAAATGTTGAGGGAAAATGGAGCCACCCAAAACACAATAATGGATTTTTCTGTTATTCTTACTCTCGCATTAACAACTGCTGACAGAGTCCCTGTAAAAATGAGGTCATAATAGATAATTATAATTAGTCATCCAATATTAATTTTTGATCACCTTGTACATGCATAGTAGCGATGTTGCTCTCCGCACCCTCTCCACTCACACACTGTACTTTGGTTCCATTATACTTAGCTGCTCCAGGCATTGCAAGGGTCGAATACTGAAATCCGAGATTCAATGTGGTGGAGTTCTCCTCAAATTTACGACGTGATTCGTCCGGTAAATCTTTTTAAAAAGTCCCATTAATTTTCCATTCTAAGCAACTGCCCAGTGTACCACAGGCGAAGTGTGAAGTGTCTCCTACAAACACAGTTTCGTCTTTTGGCTCGGGAGTAACTGTGACGGTCCGCAGAAACCAAGACAGCTAATTTTGTTACCTTGGAGCATGTAGCTACTTACATTCACTGACTGTAGTCACGCACACGATTGAAGCTAGTAGTACAAGAAACAACCAGCCAGTCACCTCTTGCATTGCGCGAGACTAACCGAAGTCGATCATGCTAAGCAGGACGACGAAACTACTAACCCGCGCATGCGCAGGGGCGGTTATACCTGCGCACGCGCAAGGACGGCATAATTAACCGTAGGCGCGCATGCGCAGCGAGGGTTGTTGGTTTGTCGATCTAGTCTGTCTGTGTCTGGCGTGTCGACGCTTATTCTGGCACTACAGGCTACGAGGCGGCCTTTTAGCGATACCAGCGGCTTCAGAACTACGCGAGCCTGAAAAAGAAAAGGGCGATTTTTCAGAAATGACTGCGTTCGGGAGATATGCCGTGAAAACATGTGAAAAAGCCGACCTGCTCCGCTCGCTCTGTGTACCTTGGAGGTACAGGAAGTCACAACGAAGGGCGTGTATCGACTCCCGCATGCTATCTACTAGTGTAGGACTCTCCGCGAGCTACTAGCGTACGAAGTACTCTCATCAATTATTAGCGGTGACGCGCATGCGCAGTTCTCCGAGGGTTTCACTTCAGTGCTTTTCATTTTTACGATGTCGATTCTTGTCCTTCTCGTATGTCTTTCTTTTGCCGTCGGCCAAGGTGATTATAACAGTTTAACAGTTTATAACAGTTGCAGTTTTTACTAACTTATTTGCTTATTCCTTAGAAATAAGTGTGACTGGTAATGTGGTAGTGTTTGAAGGTCAAGATGCTTTGTTTTCCTGTACAACACGCTCTGTTCCTGGCCACTGGAGACTGAATGACACCAACATTGCTGATCTTCCAAGTTTAATACGTGCTGATTTGGTCGATGAGACCGTTCAATCTGGCATTTTTTATTTTATTGCCCTAAGTATTGCTGGTAAAGCTGTGTACAATGGAACTACAGTGCAGTGTGCAGTTGAAGATGGTGATGTTTTGAGAAAGAGTGGTGTTGCTACATTTATCATACAAGGTTAATTATGTATGTGTAGGAAAGTTTAATGTAGCTATGTATAACTTCAGGTCCACCCTCATCGACTGTTGTGTCTTTGACATCATCTACAAACTCTTCGATCACCATCTCGTGGAGTGCTCCAT